CGCATTTTTATGTGACGTCACATTTCTCACCCCCCCCCCCTCGTCACACATCGTCACAAATGTCTGACCCACCCCCCCCCCTAGGTGCGTGACGTCATTTACGGACGGCCCCTAACTCATTTGAGGCTGAGTCGACCTGTGGCAGGTCCAGGACCGGTGCAGGTATATAATCGTCATCACATGTGTTGGCCCCGAGTGAAGGGATCGAACTCAGGTCACGCAGGCAAAGGCGCAGACCTGCAACTGCTGTGCATGCGCCTCCGCTAGATGGAGCTCTAAGAGCAAGTGGCTCCCACACTTTTTGAAACCCGCGGAATCACTTCCCAGTGAACATGCCGACGTTGTGTCAACGTCAGCATGTGGTTAGAACCCTTGGGCGAACGTTGAGCCAACGTTCCCCGTTCATCGAGTTGCCACTGACCTCGCGGAGCACCGAGAATCATTTGCTGCATGGAGGGTATGTTTGGCCTACTCTTCCAATCTGGCCAGACGTCGCTCAGAAGAGACGGGGGCGTGCCCACACTCTACCCCACCCCACCACCACCACCTCGTCCACTGTCGCTGTGACGCGCGCGTTTAGACTGTTGGGTGTGCAGAGGCGGCGGGGGGAGGGGGGAGGTAGTGGGGGGGAGTAGGGGGGAGGGGGGTAGGGCTGGGGGCGAGGTGTAGGGGGGTTGGGGAGAGGGGGCGGTAGGGGAGGTAGGGATGGGGGGAGGGGGGGCGAGGTGGAGGAGGGGGTTGGGGGGTAGGGGAGGTAGGGATTGGGGGGAAGTAGGGAGGGTAGGTAGGTAGAGGGGGGAGGTAGGGGGGTAGGGGTGGGGGCGAGGTAGGGGGGTAGGGGGTGGGGGCGAGGTAGGGGGGGTTGGGGGGAGGTAGGGATGGGGGGAAAGTAGGGGGGGTGGGTAGGTAGAGGGGGGAGGTAGGGGGTTAGGGGTGGGAGCGAGGTGGGGGGATTGGGGGAGAGGGGGCGGTATTTAAGAAATCTGCGGCGTTGTTTCAACTGCCGCGCCCAGAGATCGAATCAAAGTCGTGACGTCATCTTTACACCACGGCCCAGTGCGGTAGAGCGTGGCCGACTCCTTCCCTTCGCCTCTTCCAAGGCGTCTTCGTCAAACGTTGGGAAGAGTAGACCAAGCACCTTCCTCCACAGCTGCCTGATGCTGGTCACGTGAGGGCCTCGTCAGCCTCCTTTTAGCTGTCGCATCGCCTGAACTTTTAGTTTCCATCTCAACGACTGCTCCCCCCAAGTTCCCTATGCAGTACCGGTGAAGTACTGCAATCGGAGTTGTTCCAGTACTGCGACAGTACGCTACTAATACAACCCCTATGCAGTGCCACACCGGTTCCCTATGCAGTACCAGTGGGGTTACTGCTAGGCCATAGCCATGGAGTCAACATTGGGGGGAACCAAATCTTCCAGGGGGTGTGGGGGTCCCCCCCCAGAAAAAAAATCTAAATTTTTAAACTCATTTCCTGCCATTTCCTGCATAAAATAAAAATAAATCACTAACACATGGGATGATTTTTTTTTCTTTTTTACAACAATGTCTAATAGTGTATTGTATTACATTGCTCTGTTTTTTTCTTTTTTAACTTTTCTTGTTTCATTGTATGTCATGGCAGAGATTAAGGATTCATAAAGTACAACCATAACCACAATTCTATAAACACAAATCTATTTATATCAATATATTGGGGGGGGGGGGAATTTTTAGCATATTTAAAATATTGGGGGGGGGATGTGTCCCCTTCAATATCTATTATAATTACTGCCTTGGGTTGCTGGGAGGTAGGGGGGGTAGGAGCGGGGTGGTCACAGGACGATGCCGGTCCAACCCGCACGGCCGGATCACCCCGGCGGAATGAATCTTCGAGTCGCGTGCCGCGCATGCCATACAATGTCACTACTGGCTCTTAGACCTCGCTGGTTGGGTTCGTTTTCGCTTAACACCCCCCACCACCAACACCAACACCACCCCCCGCTTGACTTGTTCTGGAAGGTTCTGCGACTGAGATGTAGAACCAGTTCTGTAGCTTTTTTTTATATGTATGATTAATATATTTATATACAATCGAGCTGGGCGTAGTAAAGAGACAGCGAGCGGAAACTGGAGCACCTGAGAAAACAAACCTTCGACAGCTCACGCATCCGAGACGTGGAGTGGACAAATGGGGGATGTTCCTGAAGCCACTTTCATATCTCGCCGTACTTCGATGCTTCCACACTGACGGGCGTGGCGAAGAACGGTCACATAATCCCCACGATCTGCTAGACAGCCCTTGTATCTCATCCATCCAGCAGTGGATTGAGAAAAGGACATGTGCACTGTGTACGCGTGTGTGCACGTGTACGCATACGCACGTTCAATCTAGAGTTGAAGTTTTCGTGACTGCAGGGAACCAACGAGTATGTATACGCACATAACGCGAAATGCGCGTACGCATTCTGTTGCATTATTGCCGCTATAATTTGCCCATGAGAGCCATTCCCTGAGTCTCAAGATTGGTTTTCAGGAGGGTCCTGCCAAGCTCTCGCAGTTCGAGGGGCGAAGCTGCTGCTCCTGCTGCTGTGTGAGCCAAATGACACAATGTGTTACATTGTGTCTCATACACATTGTAACACAATGTGACACAATGTGTTACATTGTGTCTCATACACATTGTAACACAATGTAACACAATGTGTTACATTGTGTCTCATACGCATTGTAACACAATGTGTTACATTGTGTCTCATACACAATACATTGTGTCCCATACACATTGTAACACAATGTAACACAATGTGTTACATTGTGTCTCATACTCATCGTAACACAATGTAACACATTGTGTTACATTGTGTCTCATACACAATACATTGTGTCCCATACACATTGTAACACAATGTGTTACATTGTGTCTCATACACAATGTAACACAATGTAACACAATGTGTTACATTGTGTCTCATACACAATACATTGTGTCCCATACACATTGTAACACAATGTAACACAATGCGTTACATTGTGTCTCATACACATTGTAACACAATGTAACACAATGTGTTACATTGTGTCTCATACACAATACATTGTCCCATACACATTGTAACACAATGTAACACAATGTGTTACATTGTGTCTCATACACATTGTAACACAATGCAACACAATGTGTTACATTGTGTCTCATACACAATGTAACACAATGTAACACAATGTGTTACATTGTGTCTCATACACAATACATTGTGTCCCATACACATTGTAACACAATGTAACACAATGTGTTACATTGTGTCTCATACACATTGTAACACAATGTGTTACAATGTGTTACATTGTATATGAAAGAGGGCGTGGGTCAACGGGACTTAACTATGGGGAGCGGTAGCGCTACGCTGCGCTACGAACCCGGCGGACCCGAGTTCGATTCCCGCTCACGACCAACACCGGTGACGATTATCTGACCCGGTCGTGGGTTTCCCCTAGATCGACTCAGCGGTGTGTAAGTGAAGGAGGGGTGAATGTGCGGACTTGCGTATTGCCCGCTTATTTATTTAAGCGAACGGCCACACACTAACGGGGTTCGCTACAGTCTGCTGAATGTGCCGGATTGTGCTCTTGGCGAGAGAACTCCACACCACGATCCTTCCGGGACCCCTTCAACCAACCAGAGCAACGCTCCTCACGCAGTGTAACACGTGGTAGGAGGCTTTGGCGAGCAATATTATCCATAATGCAGGGGGAGGGGGGTTAGATCGTGTAAATATATAAATGTGTCGTTAAACCCGCCACCACCCGGCACAGCCAACTAGTAAGGGTTGTCACGTAAACAGACCGTGGCCAATTCGTCACTAGTACAGCACTAGTGTGTAGTGTAGTGTATAGTGTAGTGTAAAATGTAGTGTATAGTGTAGTAGTGTAGTATATAGTGTAGTGTATAGTGTAGTGTGTAGTATATACTGTAGTAGTGTATAGTGTAGTATATAGTGTAGTGTATACTGTAGTAGTGTAGTGTATAGTGTAATATATAGTGTAGTGTATACTGTAGTAGTGTATAGTGTAGTGTAGTATATAGTGTAGTGTATACTGTAGTAGTGTTGTGTATAGTGTAGTGTATAGTGTAGTGTATACTGTAGTAGTGTATAGTGTAGTATATAGTGTAGTGTATACTGTAGTAGTGTAGTGTATACTGTAGTAGTGTAGTGTATAGTGTAGTGTATAGTGTACTAGTACAGCACACCGGTGTGTTGGCGAGAAAAAGCCGCGACATTTACAAACTGAGTTCGACGTCTCGCCAGTAATTATAACAATCAGTCGCCTGATGAAGCGAGATGTAATTTCTGGCGAAACGTCGTAGCTCAGATTGTAAATGTTGTGGATTTGCTCTCCACCACACCGGGTGTGCTGTACTAGTGACGACTTTGCCACGTTCTGTACAACACCCTCGCTAATCGGCTGTGTCGGGTGGTGGCGGGTTTAACGACACATTTATATATTGACGCGATCTCACCCAAAAAAAAGCCCTCGCACGCATTCACATTGAGGCGTAAACACGCGGCCTCTGGCTGGGCCGTCGAACCAAGACGGCCACTACCGCATCGCACGGCGCTTTCAGCCACGCTTCTGCGGCCGTCTGGAACGTTCTTCCTTCCGCTGTTCGGCCGCCTCTGGGAGCTATGATGCACTTTTAAATCATCATCTAGATCGACAAACTCGTTTCTTTAGAACTGCTTTTTGCCTGTGTTTTAGCATTGTTGTCATTCGCCCCGCACCTCCGACTACGTACGGTGCGAAAGAAGTTCAACACACATTGAGGGCGCGGTAGCGATTTCTCACGTGCACCCGCACGCACGCCTCCAGTCAACACCTCCCCACTCTCTTTGCCTCGTCTCTGTAACCAGACCCAGCCCTATTCAAACCAACCCTCTCCATCCCTGCCTCTCTCCCAACCAAACTCCGCCCTACGGCTGCTCACTCGTACCCTGCCTCTATACCCTTCACCCCCTCCCCCCCTCGTCTCTCCGCCTCTCACTCTCTCTCTCTCTCCCCACATACACACTGGGTTGGCTGTTTCCATCTCGCTGTGCGTGTTGTGTGTGGCTTGGAGCAGCAGAGGCGGGATGCGGCGGCGGTAGCGGCTGTGTGCGTTTGTCGCCGGTTCATCGGACACGACTCCACTCAGAAGTTCGAGTTGAAGAGTTGGGGCCCATCACCCGCATCTGCTCCACAGCTGGGTCCCACCCTCCACATTCCGCTTATTCTCTGAGCCTGTGGCCAACCATCTCGGCAGCGACACCCGGTAAGAGCCGTAACAACAACAACATCGTCGTCGTGAGAAATCTGATGCGGTGTTTTTTTTTTGGTCTTCGTGTTTGGTAGCAAACAATATATATAAATGTTGATACAAAATATGAATCTCTCGCTGGTATTTGAACGAGACTGGCTGCCCGCACATTCCACCCACCGCTGAGCTCCCACTCTGAGCTCCCACTGTTAAACAGGAAGCGATACACACGCAAACCTCACGTTTTAATAACTTACATTGAGAGAATTCGAACAGATGCGGTCAGTGCGTGTGCGTGACCGTGCGGGAGAGAACGGAAGCTGTAGCGGTCAGCGCAACGCGGCGTTACGAAGCCCGGTTTCCACGGCGAACAGCAGGCACGGTTATCTGTACCCGGTCGCGGACCTCCCCTAGGTCGACTCGGCCTCAAATGAGTAGCGTGCGCAACATCGGTGCCGGGGAAGCAAAGACGGCCGGGCACGGTGCTGGCCACCCATCCCGTTCGTGTGAAGTTTCCGGCCCTGCGTAGATTCTCGCTAGCAACACTTGCCCCAACAGTCTGCTAAAAACAAAAACATCTATACGTGGGATCTTTGTCTTTGTGAACGTAGGCATCGACGGCTGTGGGTTATTCGTCATGCTTTCGGGGGTCTCTAACCCTCTGCTCACAACCGTGAAAACCCCTTCACGATGGGCGGGCCCGGGTAAAGCTGCACGGCTGGTTATTTTATTTTATTATCTACGTCATAGCCAGTTCGTCCGTTCACCTTGGCCTTCCTTCTGACCCCCCCCTACCCTTTACGTAACGTCATCGTTCACCACTTCGAGAATTTCCAGCTGGTGCAGACACAATGGGAGGCCCGATTGATGCCTGGGTGCGGTCGAGGGACGGCTCCCGATTGGTCCACCACAGTTCGCACGCTGACAATGCGACCGATTGCTGCTCACTCTCTGAGAATGAGTTGGAGGCTTGACTGCTGAACTTGCTGTGTGCCGCTAAGAGGGTGGAGTGGGGACTTACCATCAGCCCCACAAGCACAGAGCACCTGCCTGGGTGTGTTATGTCATCAAATACTCTACCCCCTTAACGCAGAATGAGTTATGGAGCAAATCTTGACTTAAAGCTTTCGTGACTGCAGATTATTTGACGAGTTATGGAGCAGTTGTGGAGATGTTTCTACACGCGGACAGTGTGCTCGTGGTCAGTTCGGGTTCGACAGCGGAGGGTCTCACTCTACACGAGTCGAGCGGCATCGTCGTTTCTTCAGCGATGGTGTGCGTCTGCCAGTCATCTCAGTCAGTCAACCCACGGCACCTGCGGGGTCTGCCCCGTGACCTGCTGCCAGCGAGCCTTCGACACTTCACGTGGCCTCACAGAGCACCTTGTTAGTAGAGAGTGGTAGTCTAGCGGTGAGCGCGCTGCGCTACGAACCAGGCTACCCGAGTTCGAATCCGCTCACTGACAACACCAGGGACGATTATCTTAACCGGTTCTGGACCTCCACCAGGTGCGATGTGTACTTGGTGCGGTGTGTAAACATCGCCACTAGGGAGACAAAGGCGGCCGGGGGTGGTGCTAGTCGCCCAACCCCCACGTGTGCCGTGCCGGCCTTTATAGGTGCTCGTTAACAGCACGTGCCCCAACAGTCTGTTAAAGGCTATACGGGGGATCTTTGTCTTTGGTACAGTGGCGCATATGCGTGCCATGCATCTTGCTGATCGCTTGTGGTAGACTGCGGTTAATGTAATTTACAACTGGGGCTTTTATTCATTATCTTGTGATGTTTATCAGCCTATCGATTTTAACTGATACTCGATGGCACCCTTTCAATCAGGAAGCTACAGTACTTGGGGCCGCGGGAATTCTCTCGTTTCTTTATTACACGCACAGGCTCCGTGGGATGATCGGAGAGAGCGCGGTGGAGATGCGACGGAAGTCTTAAAATGAGAGATGTAGGCAAGAGGCAGAGATTGGGTAGGATGAGAGGAGAGAGAGAGAGATGCAGACGAGATATAGATGATAACTCTTTGGTTCTTTCGATAAAGTCACGTATACAGATAAAATAATAAATTAAATAATAGCATACGACGTTTCGATTGCAACACAAGCAATCATCATCAGGTAAACGTCGTATGCTATTATTTAATTTATTATTTTATCTTTATACGTGACTTTACCGAATGAACCAAAGAGTAATTCCTGCAGTCACGAAAGCTCCAAATTAAGGTTAGATGATAACTATTTATGAGCTTATTCAGCAAATTGTATTTTTTAATGCTCATTGGCTCTTAATCAACGACAGCATTTTTTGAATCACTCATGGGCTCTTGTAGATCGTTCTAGGGCCTTCTTTTGAGCATCGTGGGACTCGGCGCGCTCTGCCGAGTCTGTTAATGCCACCCTCTTCCTTACCTTGCACCGCCACTGCCAATGGGAGCCACGCCACCACTCCAAGTCCACGGCTCTCGTTCGTGTGGTTACAGTCACGGCCAGTCTGCATGTCGTGGACTTGCCAAAGCGACGCATTAATCCACTGGGATTTGGGGGGGGGGGGTGGGGGGGATATTGGGGGCTCCTACCTCTGCGTGAGTTCGCTCAATCAGGCAGCAAAGGTGGCTGCAATTTGCGAGATATTTACGCCGCGTGAGAAGTAATTTATGTGTCCCAGCAAACTTGCGTTCCTCATTTGTTTTTATTTCGTGGAAGGAAACTCCACGTGTCTCGCTTGCGTGCGAGCTGGGGAGGGGTAGGGGAGCGGTGGTGCAGCGGTTAGCAGCACGCTGCACAAAACCAGCGGGCAGCTCCAATTCCATTGTTGGGCCCACTGGGGGTGCGAGATGCAATTTTCTGCGGGTGCGAGACACGGCCAGATATACGTTTCTAGAAGGTAAATAATCGAAAACACACATTAAGCACGGGCACGGTAAGTAACAACTTTGTTTCATCAAACCCCTGTGTATTTATTAACATTATAAAACATTTTTACGATAGGGAACCGAATGGCTTGCAAGGCTGCAGTTAAAGGTTAGAGCGGTTAAACATTCTTTTCACGTTGTTTAACATTGACCGCATCACGCCCCGTGTCTCTTCCCTCCCCCGAGTATCTGTACGCCTCCCCCGATACTGGATTGCGTCTGTCGGTGGCACATTCGCCAACCCCCTGCCCGCATCGTCAAGACCAGCGGGCCCCGTGTGACCCTCCTCCCCCACCACCACCACCACCACGTTCCGTGAACAGAGAAAGCGAGCCGAGCGAGCCGAGCGAAGCAGAAGTCCCAAGTTCCTCCCTTGCGCTGGGCCTCCTCGTTCACGCGGCCCCGTTCGCACCCCCCGCCCCCTCTCTCCACACGCTGCTGGTGGTGGGGGAGGGCAGGGGGGCGAGGTGGGGGGAGGGCTCCCTGTGGCTCAGCGATGAAAACTTAATGTGGTCGGCGGTAATTGTCCGACGCGGCCAGCCCCTGCCGCCCACGGGCGGCGGTGGGGGGTGTGACGCTGCCCCCAGGGTGCACATGGCCAGGCCACGTGATGGTAATAGGCACCTCGGTGCGTGTGTGGGTGGGTGTCACTCCGCTGCTGGATGGAGGGACCTCCGTGTACCTGGCAGGGGGAAGTGGTCGATATGGTTATTCTTCTTGGTTCTTTCGGTAAAGTCACATAGAAGGGAAATAATAAAATAAAAAAAATAAAACATAATAACCAAATTCTCACTGAGAATTATTTTATTATGTTTTATTTTTATTATTTCTCACGGAGAATAATTTTATGTTTTATTTTTATTATTTTATTATTTCCCTTCTACGTGACTTTACCGAAAGAACCAAGAAGATGAATCCCTGCAGTCACGAAAGCTTTAAATCGAAATGATGTGGTTATTTTTTGACGCGTTGTTTCCGGAGCAATAGCCTCGCGGAGTGCGCACGCGATTATTTTACCTTTTATTTTAATTGCGCTTTACAAGGGTTATGCGTGGTACAATGAGGGTAGCTAAAAGTGATGCGGTGAAAAGGGATGGGAGGGGGGGTATAGGGAGGGCGATCAGTGGGTACGGGAATTAAGGGGGTGCCTAGGGATGGAGAGGAAAGGATGGGGCCAAGGAGAAGAGGTGGGTGGACGTCTTGACGGAGGAGTGGAAACGAGACGAGGGGGGGAGGGTGCTCGTCGCTTCACGTGGAGGCGAAGTTTGTTCCAGTCCAGGGCGAGGGGGTGGCAAGTCGGGGAAAGAAGCCGAAAAACGGGGATTGTGCACAGGGAGAGGGGGGAACGGTGAGGAGGAGGAGGGGGATGGAGGGGGGGAGCGAGGTAGGGTGGGGGAAGGCCACGAAGAGATTAAAATACCGGCGTAATTTGTAGTAAATTTGGTTCGTGAATGCCCGCGATGGTCACGATTGCGTGGCCGCGTGCCAGAGGGAGCCGGAGTGCCCGGGGGAAGAACGCGGGGCGCAATGATCCACGCCGCGTGACCTCCACCCACCCACCCGACGACACCCGACTGGTTTAAAAGGACGAATCGGGCCTCAGCCTCCTGGAGAATTATTGCCGAGTTGCGATGGGGACTGTTGCGTGCTCGTTTCGTTTCCGAGCGCATTCAGAGAGCGCGCGCAGAGGGGAGGGGGTGGGGAGGGCCTTGTTCAATTCGTATCCGTGAGAAGAGAGGGGGAGGAAAAACGCTGTGAATGAGGCTTGTGTGTGTGTGTGTGTGGTGGTGTTCTCTTAGCCGCTAGAATTCTAAATGCTTGGGAGCTAATTAAAGTCCATTAATGCGGCGAGCGTGAGCGTAGACAGTTCCAACGCTCATGTCTTGTGGGTTTTTTTGCTTTCGCGATGAGCGTTACGGCTCCACGCACACGCGCACGGATACATCGCGTCAAATGTATGCAACAGGGATCTTTGAAGTCGCAGCCTCCGTTTATACATCCACACAGAGCACATTCAATACTTGCCCGCTGGTGGCGGCTGGTGGTGGGGGGGGTGAGCAAACTACACACAAATACTGAATAAAAATGTATTGCTATTA